GTTCAGTGGTAGATTCCCAGGACAGAACACAGAACATGTTCAATTCCAGATCAGAGCACACGCCCAGGATACGGGCTCAAACCCCAGTGGGGGCGTGCAGGAGGCAGCCAATCAATGTTTTTCTCTCTCCCTTTCTCTTCCTCTCTGAAATCAATAGAAATATATTTAATTTAAAAAAATCAGACTCACACATTAAAGTGATTTTTTAATAATTTAAATATAAATATATCTATTTAAATTAAATATATTTTTTAAAAAAAACAAACACCTGATTCCCCATACCAAATTCTGAGTCAGTTTCATGCTGCCCAGCCTCCTGGTCCCCTCAGGGGGAGCAGCCATGTTGCTCTCTCACATCAATGTTACTCTCTCTAAAATTAGTTTAAACATATCCTTGGGTGACTTTTTTTAAAAATAATTTATGCCCAATTTTTCTATATTTAAAAGATACATAATAAGAATTTGGGAAGGACTTGTATACATGCATATAAGCAAAACGAATGGATGAAAAACTCTGTGGGGGGGAGGGCATGTATGGGAGTGGGGAGGCAATGGAAAGATATGTATACATATAATAATACCTTAATAAAAAAAATTTTAAAAAGAATTTGGACTTCATTCTTGGACCTAGCCTATTTCACCTTGAACTGTTGAAAGGGACACAAAATCAACCATTTGAGACAAATTGTGCATTCTGAGCTACAAAATAAAACAGTTGCAGCTGACCTGAGCACATGGGAGAACGAGGAAGAAAATTTGCTCTAAAAGATGAACGCGTTTCACCGTCCCCCCTCCACTGCTCAATTAACATAATGTCGCCAAACATTTTCAAAAATCAACCCAGAAAATGACACTTTAAATTAGTCATCTGAAAAAACGGGGCAAATCATAACGAAAAAAACATGGTCCATCCATGAGAAAAACCATAGGGTGGACAGCTATTAGGAAAACTTTTAAACATTGTCTTCCTTTTATAGTCTCATGCATCCAAAGTGGCTATTATTTTTTATTTCCCAACCCACCATTTGTTAAATAGCAGAAACTATAGAGCTGAAGGATAAGCACTTTAAATAAGAATTCATACGCCAAGGAAGTAAGAATCTTTCAACTTTTATTTCCAGGATACATTCATCTGGAACCTCTTTGTTTCTTTACAATTTTCCCCCTAAGAGAAATTAATACAATAAAAATATAATCCAACTACCAGCAATGTTTGTAACCAGAAAAAGAATCTAAAATCTCTGGTGTGATAATATAGGATTTTTTAAAAATATAAACTTCATACCAGAAATAAAGCCTGAATATTCTCTTTTTCTTTAAAAATAGAATTTTTCCTTCTTTGCTCTTCCATGTAAATCGTATAGTCAACGTTTAGTTTTAAAGTCTACATTTAAGCTAGTAATAATAATACTACAGCACTGTTTTTTTCCTACTTTGTATCCTGTTCTGTGAATCAACTAAGAATTGCAGTTTAAAAAAAAAAGAGAGAGAGAGAGAGATGCCACTAGGTTAATAGCAAGATTCTTCAAGAGAGACTGATAAAAAAAAATAACAAAAATAAAATAAAATAAAAAATAAAAAAATTCCCACTAGCAAACTAAAATCTACTTAACAAGTTGCATTGTACAAAGCACTTTTGCAAACTGTAAAGCTCTCATGGAAAACTTTTTACAAAATCTGTGTTGGACTAGAAAGGCTAGTTCAACACGGGGACGGGCCAGGGACAGAAGGCTGTGAAATCTTGGTCATTGTTCTGTAACACTTAGGTTTGGGGAGGGGAGATTACACATTGCAAGCTGGAGGTACAGGAACATGGTTATCTCACAAGGACTGAGTGGTTTGCAGTGATGTATGAGTATTTTCCTTAACAGAGAATAAAGAGCAAGGGGCAGGGGAAGAGCCCGTACTTCACAGGAGACTGAGTCAGACCCGTCTGCAACTAAGAAAAAGGAGTAAGAAGTTAGTGGTTAGTGGCTCTCTACCCAAAGCTCCACTATTGGAAGTATAATCCATTCTGAGACAGTGTTCCGAACTCGAACCTAAAAGGTCTGGGAATGGTGGTGTCCCAGATCATCATCAAAAAGCCTAATTATAAATACGGGTATTGACATAGCTGAACCAGAGTGACACTCTCCTATCTCTAAAACAGCACTATCCAGAACACCCTTTGTAGGGTTATTTTGTAGGATGTTGGAAGCTAAGCACAGGATAAGAATGTTTGATAAAAATGAGCCCAGTGAAGGCGTCATTCTTGTTTGCTAGAATGCAAAATGGACTTACGAGAAATGTCTTCCCATGAGCCATGAGGATGGAAGGAGACAGGCCTGTGAACACAGACGTGCCAATGGAGGCCTGCAGACCCTTGGGTGTCGGCACCTAGGCAGATGGCCGAGAGAAAGCGTCCTCGGGAACCTAAGGGGTGAGGGAACGGGCAGGGGGAACGGTTCTGGGCTGCCGAGCGGCTGGGCACGCTGGAAGAGGCTGTCACCAGGCTGAGCCTCCTCTCCCAGAATGTTTCAACCATCCTCCCGGGGCACTCTGGGAGCGGGCCTAGCTTAGCCCGGGAAACGGGCTAAAGGCCTTAAAACTTCTCTTTTAGCCTCGGATGCACTTCCTCTTTCTTTAGCACCATCTTTCCCCAAGAGAATATTCAGGCCAACTTGGTTTTTGTTTTGTTTTTTCTGCATTAGTAAGAGTTATAAACTAGCAATTTGGAATACCCATCTCACAGAGTATCTTGTTATTAGTATCTGACACCTTGAGAATTAAGAATGTAGAACTTAAATGTCATTTACACAAGAGTCAAACAAGCCATGTCACACTTGATGATTCCACATGAATAAAAGTTAGCTTTGATATGTAAAAACCTATCTTTTGCCAAGGTTTTAACTACTGGACTTTAAACCAATTGTAATATTCCATGTAAAGCTCATTTATATTGCAGTAACATGCCTTCATGTTTTCAATATACAACAAAGAAAGATTTTGAACTATATATTTTAAAACCAGTTCACTCTCTTTTACAATCACACCGTCAGTCCAACATTTAAAATATAAACCCAAACTGCCAATGAAAACAACAGTGGACCAAGTGACAGTACCATTTAAATGAAACAATAATGCAAGAAAATGTAGGCATTAAAACTTAAAGAATAAACATAACCCAATCCATTGGAAAACTGCTCATATGCCTGATGTGTTCAGAAATGAATCTCACGCAGAACAGATCCCACTGTGATAGCAAACAACTCATTCCTTTCTCATTTTCTCATTCCATGAAGCATGGCTCACTACTTTTGCTGAGGTTTAGACAGTGATTAGTTATCTTAACAGCAGAGATTAATATTAAATACACAGCCTATTCCAGAATTGGCATATGCTCCCAACAACTGTTTTGTGTGCTTCCTGAATTATAAAATAGTCCAATCTTTAGGAGCATAAAAATGAAAGGGCTTAAATCTACTCACATACATTGTGCATTAAATGTTACCAAGTTAAGACAGTAAGGTGGAAAAAAGGAGAAGGGTACAGTCAGTTTTCTTTAAACAATCCCATTATATTAGACAGTACTGTCAATAATGTATTTTAACCAGGTTATAAAAAAAATAATTACCAGGATTTGTACCATTTCTTGGAGAAATTAATATAGCATTAAATATACAGTTTTTGTATATTTATTTGAAGAATCTTTGGTACCAATTGTGTTCCTTCCACATAGGACTCTTCAAAATAAATTTCAAAATTAATATACTAGTCAGCACATAAAAGATAAACTATGATACTTTTCATTTTCCTATAAAATGTATTTGAACCTATTAACCTGCACTAATCATGCACTTAAACACAGTATCAGTTTAACTCATGTACATAAGAGACTAATACTACAAAGAAATTAGACAGTAATGAGAATCAATGACAAAACATAACAATAAAAACTGTTCTTAAGTAATTTATTTTTAAATTATAAGATTACAATGCTTTGATTATGCAAAATAGCATAATGAAAATTAAACCAAATCAATAAACCAAAAGAAAACTTGGTTTTCTTGAATATCAGTATTTAAACCATCACTGTAAATATCTGATACCCCAATCATAGCTTACGTAGACATAAGTATATTTATTTCAAAGGTTTCTCTTGCGGGTTTAATTTCTTATTTCAACTTTTATGAACTGTAATATAATTTATTTCAAATCCTATTATACCTAGTGTTTATACTGCAACAGCAGCAAATCTCACATGTGCAATCGAATGTGGAACTGGGGCACAGCTTTCAGTTTGTAGCCGCAGACAAAAATTACACTGCATTCAGAGCAGAGTGCGTTAGATTAACCAGAGCGTGGAGTTTAGTACACTTATTGCAGATAGTATTTCTTTCCCTTTGCACTGAACCAGCTGAGCTTCTGAGCTGCCATATTACTGCTGTGGATAGTAAGGCTGCTGTGGGGGCTGAGGAAAGGGGTATGAAGGCTGCTGGGGTCCTGGGAACGGAGCCTGTCCGGGGTTCTGATGATACACTGGCGGATATGGCATGTTGTACTGGCCGTATGCATAAGGGTTATAGCCCATGGGCATGGGCATTTGGCAATACCTGATGGAAAGAAGGAAAAAAATGGGTTGATAAATCAAATACGAAAAAAACAAAACAATTATTCTAATGCCAGTTTTTTTCAATAAAGCCATTTGTCTCCATTTCTCAAGTCTATTAGAGAACAGTGGAGAGAAGAAAACAGCTGTTTCAAAGTACCTGTTAGAGAAAAGTGTTCCTAATCCTGTTATTAATTGAAATGAAAGAAAGAATGTCAAGTTCACTGTAATGCATATAAATTTACTGTTTATAAAATTCTTAACAGTGGAAAGACAGAATGGATTTAGTGAAGTTTGAAATACACTTAAAAAATAGTCAAATGTCTTGTTTAACTAATTATCACCAAAAAAGCAGATGTTTAAGAAAATACATTCCATAATTACATAAATTTCTGCTCAACAGCTTATCAGAATGCAAAGATTTCAAAGTACAGGAATATAAAGAAGGCCGTATCAGTCTGACTCATGGTAAGCTCAGAAAAGGCAGGTGTTTATCACCTAAATCAGTGGTCGGCAAATTGCTGCAGTTTGCTCCTCTATTGACTAATGAGTTTGCTGACCACTGACCTAAATAAATAGTATCAAGGAAACATATTCTGAATTCCATACAGAAGAGATGTGATATAAACCCAATATGTAAAAACTGAAAATATAAATATGCTTGGGAAATAGCTATCTCTACTCAAATAAATGACTATAGCATTATTTTTACTTCTGCATGAGCTGACAATGTACTTATTCATTTATGACACGCCCACTCAGAGCAGAGACAACCCTGTATTTAGCAGGTTAAAAAGAGAGCAGAACATCAGCTGCTTCACTGGGATAAACGAAGTTTCCTCCTTACCCGGGATATCCTGGATAGGTGGGGTACGGGGGGCCCTGGGCCTGTGGGAGGGGAGCTGAGCCAGGAGTCTGGGATGCAGCAGGTGCAGAAGTTCCAGTCACCGCGGGAGCTGAGGCGGCAGCAGCAGGCGCTCGATTTGCTGGAAACGTAGGAGGTGGAGGCCGGGCTGGGGGCTGAGGCTTACTAGGCTATAAGGAAAAGTCAGCAGTAACTACAAAATGTTTCGTGTTTCTTTCAAATTGCTATCAAGTCAAATAAATGAGGGGGCATGAGAGAAACTCTACACACTCCAACTAGATATACTTCTAATTCCCTTTCGTAAATGTTGGCTTATTACTCTAAAAATGTATCACAGTTGAGGAATAATTCTCCAATTTGTTATTTGTTTATTTAATCCTCATCTGAGGATATTTTTCCATTGGGTTTATTTGTTTTTAGAGAGAGGGAAAAACAGAAATATTGATGTGAGAGAAACACATCAATTGATTGCCTCCTGCCTGAGCCCCAACCAGGGCCTGGGCTGGGGAAAAGCCTACAATCGATGTATGTGCCCTTGTCCAGAATCAAACCTGGGACCCTTCCATCCACAGGCTGATGCTCTATCCACTGAGTCAAACCAGCTAGGGCTAATTCTCTGATTTGTGGATCCTCAGTAGCCACTGCTTTTTTCCTGATGCCTAATATTTAATCATTTACTGCTCACTGCTTCTCCCACCAATGGTTAGACAACTGAGGTGGGAGGAAGGAGCAGGTCAGGTACAGTTTATTACTGTAATCCCATCCTGATCCCAACATATTATGACATTTTTTAAAGACCAGAACACTTAAAAGAATAGCATAATATACATACAAGTCCTAATATTGTCCTACATAATCATAGGACCACTTCACCCTAAGAAAATTAACTCTTACTTCCTAATACCATCAAGCATCCACTCCACATTTAAGTTTCCCTACTTATCACCAAAAGAAGCTCTGACAAGTGTTTTTATGGATCCAATCAAGATTCATGGATTGCACTTGGTTATTATGAATCTTTCCACTCGTTTAGCCTTAAACATGCCTATGTTTTCCTTCCTATGACATACTCTTTTAGAAAAGATCAAGCCAGATATCTCACAAAATGTCCCAGTTCTAGATTTGTCCAATGGTTTCCTACCGGCACAATTTATTGTAACTTCTTGTTTCATCACCCTGTTTGCTATAAACTGAAAGTTGGTTCTAAAGACTTGATTAGCTTCAAATTAAAGATTTTTTGGCAAGAATTCTTCACATTGCAAAACATCACGTTGGTCACCTGATCAAAATGGTGACACCAGATTTATCCAACATGAAGTCTGTTCCATCCTTTGCAGTGTTTCCCAAACTTTTGACATATGTGTGCCCCTTCTATAATTTTCGTAACGCTGAGTACCCCTCGTACTCATGAGAACGTAGAATTAGGCGCAGCTAAGCACGGTGCAGTGCATATCCCCACCAAACTCTTCCCGTACCCCTGGGGGGTACGCGTACCACACTTTGGGAAACACTGCTTTACAGCAAGCAAGCTGTCACTAATGTAAACTTCCATGTCCAGAGGTTTGCTTACTGACCGCTGTGGTTCTTGGTGCTGGAGTTGGAGGAGTGGGGGCAGTTCCTCCTGCTGGAGAGGACTGGTAAGCAGGTGTAGGAATCGAAGGAGCACTAGGTTCTCTGGCAATGCTTTGTTGCAAGTCCCTTATGAAAGACAAGGGTTAGAAATTAGCACAATAAAAGAAAACCCAACACACAGAAAATATCAGGTGTTTTTCTTTTCTTCATTCATGAAATACAGAAAATAGGTTCAAAACAATGATGGTATTTTGAAACATGCTACATTTCTGATCTTGACTAGAACTGCCTTAAGTCTTTTCTCCCTACTATTTAATGAAATGAAATTAGTTCTTATCTACTTGTGAAGCCTAAGGGAAAAGGTAAACTTTGAGAGATCATAGTTACAGCTAGAGTAAGGAATATATCAAACTGGTCCTAAACGATTGCCCACTCTCTCTCTTTCCCCCCCCCCAATATATTTTTATTAATATCAGAGAGGAAGGGAGAAGGGGATAGAGAGATAGAAACATTAATAAGAGAGAATCATTGATTGTCCACAACTGGGAATCAAGCCTGAGACCTGGGCGTGTGCCCTCGATCAGAATCAAACCCAGGACCTTTCAGTCCGCTGAGCCAAACCAGTTAGGGCGACTGCCCAGTCTTAATAAGAGGTCATCCTCTAGATGAGAAACTCCTAACATAATAACCAGAAAATTACAACAGCTCATAGTCACCTCATAGTCATCTCACTAATATTTTAATCACTATTTCTAGAAACCATAACAACAGGTGAGAAAGCTAATCTATTCAAACCATTTTGTAAATTTCTTAATAAATACTTTCTAAAAGGCGAAAGATTTATGCGGTCTGAAGAGAAACCAGAGCATAATAAATACTTTTTAAAGATATTCCAAAAAGTATGGCCCTGAGATATTTCATGTTAAAAGATACCTCAAAATATATTATTAAGGTAAATTCTTTATAAAAGAGACAGTTGAAAAGACCATTAAAATACAGTATTAAAAAAAACAGAAAAACATCTTTAAACCCTCTCTACCAAGATAAACTAAATCCATCCCAAAATCTCACTTAAATAAAACAGAAGTACTGTAAGTGTAAATTACAAACCAGATTTCTGGATTTAGTGTGGGGGAGAGTGGGATAAACTGTCTCCTTCATAATTTTTGCATTGATTATATTTTGAAATGATGCTACTTTGGACATACTAAATTTTATGTTGCCTGTTTCTCTTTTAGCCTTTTTTAAAAAATATATATATTTTACTGATTTTTTTACAGAGAGGAAGGGAGAAGGATAGAGAGTTAGAAACATCGATGAGAGAGAAACATTGACCAGCTGCCTCCTGCACACCCCCTCCAGGGAATGTGCCCTCTACCAATGTACATGCCCTTCACCGGAATCGAACCTGGGACCCTTCAGTCTACAGACCGACGCTCTATCCACTTAGCCAAACCGGTTTCGGCTCTTTTAGCCTTTTTAATGTGACTACTAGAAATTTTAAATTTTAAGTTGTACATGTGACTGCATAGTATCACCAAACAGATGTACCTTTACTTATTTTACCAGCCCTAGACATCTGATTTGTTTCTATTCTTTTACTCCTAACAATAATATTTGACAGTGTGTTTTAGAACCTTCATGTCCACACTATTTACAATTGCCCAAAACTAAAAACTACTTGAATACTCAATAATAGTAATGGTAATAAGACTGTTGTATATTCATATGATGAAAAACATATATGGCAACATCATACCGATGAATCTCACTAATATAATGTTGACTGATAGCCAATCACAAAAGTTCACCGTGTAGAAACCAGTCTACATCCTCAGTGGAGACAGTGGTTGTCATGGGGAGTGGGTGACGACTGGGTGGGTGCAATAGCTATGCTTCTGGGGTACTTCCAAGTGCTTAGTGCAGGGGTGTGCTCAGTTTGTGTAAATACAACAAGATATACATCTATACATACTTTTCTTGTTTTTTTTTACATTCAATAAGAATGTTTTAAAGAATTTAGGATCTGAGCATGACAGTGATTTTTAACAAAGGTCCCGCTATAAGGCCTGCACCTTGGATGTGAGCTAGATCCATTTTTATCTATTTTACAGAGATTCTCTGTAAGACAGAGTTTGAGCAAAAGGTTCTACAGCTCAAAAAATAAAAAGTGGAGGGGGTGGATGAACACAATCCAAAAAGTTAAAATCAGAATACTTGGTTTTGACTATAAAAACATGAACTCCCATTATTTAGTTAATGTAACTATCTGAAAAGATTATATATTCTTTTACATGACTCAAAACAATATCATTTTGGTGAATGTTCTTCATCTATAGGTTTTGTTTCATTTTGTCCATTTTTTCACCTTAATAAACATAGTCTCTTCGTATCAATGCTGTGTCAACTCTCTGCTGATTACTAAGCAGAGAGTGAGTCCTGCTCCTGGCCCACCTCTCAGTAGTCTCCCTCAGAAAGTGATTCTGCTATCTGTACCTCTAGTTTATATAAGGAACTTATTTGCCACCACAAAGTAAATACTTACGTTTATAAGCATTGCCTCAGATCTGCCTCTGTGAGCTGCTTTATTATCATTTCTGTGACATCACTGTACTCCCTACATCTAGAGCTTCTGCTCTTTTTTATCTTTTTGTTTCTGGACCATGCAGATGTTTGCTGACTTGTTTTATAAAACACCCAGGAGCAAAGGAAAAAATTGCTATCTCACACTGTCAGGTTTACCCCCAAAAGTCTCCACAAGGTTGGTTTTTTAAACAAAAATACTCTAAGTGCAATTTAATATAGAAAGCAAACTTACTTTAGGAGTTCATCTCTTTCTGTTTTCCGTGCAAACACTATATCACTGCACTTGTTCTGGAACCGGACTAGGATTTCGGTCAGTTCGTTGTAAAACTATAAGCAAACAACAAATACAACAAATTAACCAGAACAATTTTTAATCTAAGGAGGAACACAACCTAAAGCTCAATTGTCAAAACAGTTAAAAGTGAAAAACTAAAATTTTCTACATTAGACAACTCACACTACTTAAGTCTAACTTAATATTAAAGATGAACTAAGCCAAAACCGGTTTGGGTCAGTGGATAGAGCGTCGGTTTGCGGACTGGAAGGTCCCAGGTTTGATTCCGGTCAAGGGCATGTACCTTGGTTGCGGGCACATCCCCAGTAGGGGGTATGCAGGAGGCAGCTGGTCGATGTTTCTCTCTCATCGATATTTCTTGCTCTCTATCCCTCTCCTTCCTCTCTGTGGAAAATCATTAAAATATATTAAAAAAAAAAAAAAAAAAAAAAAAAAAAAGATGAGCTAAGACTCCTAAAGAAAATAAAATCGTTTTTAGAGAACAATATTACTAAAAATTAAATGGTAGCAAGTTAAAAGTTTC